GTGAAGAAATATCCCCATTACATAGATGAAGAAATGGAGGTTCAAAGAGGGTAAGTGACTTGACTTAGGGTCACATAGGTAGTAAGGGGTAGGGCTGGGATTTCAACTCAGACTTCTTGCCTTCAGCCTTCTTTGCACTAAAACACATTGCTTTTCAAGTGGGAGAGGGGTGGAATAAGAATGAAAAAGAAAAAAAATTGTTGACATGTATATAGCACCTTACGGTTCATGAATCACTCTATATATTAATTTTTGATGGTCATAACAATTCCAGGAAACAATCTAGGTATGACTATCCTTATTTTACAGATGAAGAAACTGAGGCTCAGAGAGAGGAAGTGATTTGCTCAAGGTCACATAGCTAGTAATTAGCAGGGACAGGATTCAAATCCAGGTTTTCTGTTTCAATTCTGATATGCCAGAATAAACACGTATCCCTTGAGAAGATGAATCTGGAACTTAAAAGACTTTTCTAAAACAGGGGTTTAAAAAAAGAGAGGAAATACTCCAGCCCTTAGCCAATGCAACATGCTATATATTGTAGCTACTTAATAAATATCTCTGTAGGGGAATCCATGTTCAACCATGAGTCTGTCTCTGTAATGATATTTCCATACTATACATCTGTACTTTTTCAAGCATTTCCAGAGATCCAGAAAACAGACTGAATATTTCAGTGATCAGACTTACATTTGGTAACATATGCAGGCAAAGACAGCAAGACAGCGTAATTCAGAGTGTATGTAAAGAAACCATTACGTATCTGCTCAAAAATTGTTCTGTTTTAAAACGTTCAGAAAGAAAAAGGGAACATCCCTTTAAGAAGGAGTCTGTCTAACAAAATAGAAAAATGTTGGACATCTGAAGAAGTTAGTAAAGAAATCAAATGTAGGTAGTTACAACCAGACAGGAACACTTAAGGTGGTACAGTGGATAGAGTGCAGGTCTGGAGCTAGGAAGATCTGAGCAGGAGTTCAGATTTAGCCTGAGACGCTGGCTGTGCATCCCTGGGCAAGTCTCTTAACTTGTGATTTGCTCAATTTCCTGAATTATAAAATGGGGATAATAATAGCACCTACCTCCCAGGGATATTGTAAGGACCAAATGAGATAATATTTGTTGAAAAAGTTTAGTACAAGGCCTGGCACATGACTGACACTGTACAAATGCTTACGTTCTTCTCTTTCCCCTTCCCAAGGAAGAAGCAATCTGGTAGAGGAGAAAGGCTCTTCTAGTGGAAAAAGGGATAGCTTGTTTCAAAAATATTTCAATGAGTTTGTAACCCATTTAACATGTTTTCTGAGAACATATTTCAATCATTATCATAGTAATAACTGATGACAAACATTTTTGCAAAATGCACTCTATAATTTTTGCAAAGAAGATGCAAGGGAGAATATTGATAACTCCTAGTTTAGGGGGAGAAGCTTTGGATGGTGGATGGAGTACAGGAGATGGTGCTCGCTCCACAATGCCTCCTTCCATTATTTAAGTCTGATGGAGTATATCCAGTTCCTTTAGCGAAGCATGCCACAGAAAGGAAGAGAACCTAGATGAATCTTTTGCTTCCAAAAAAATCCCTAGTAGATGTTAACTAACTCCTAACCCTTCTACAATGAGCCAGATCCTGCCCCATGTTTAGAAGAGTTGTGATTTCTACTCAAGAATTTGGAAGCACTCAAATCTGAAGTTTATAAATGCACTTAGAATGCCAACTACAAACTGAAGTCATTATTTGCTTGCCATCTGATAAATTGAATTAATTACTTTAACATACTCAAAGACAAATACTCGAAAACTATTAAAAAACATTTGCATTGTAGGTAACAAAAGGTAACAAAGAGGTAATAAAAGAATCATAGACTGGCCCAATTGGTTCTACTGCCAGCTACATCATTAATTACCTATGTAACATAAGATGCATAATAAGTTTTTAGAGCTAGAAAGAACCTTAGAGATCACGCCATCATTTTATTAACAAAAAAACTGATGCACTTAGAGGAAACATGACTTGTCAAAAGTTACACAGTAAATGGCAGAAATGAAAGTTAAATTCATCACCTGAAATGCATCGTTCTTTCTCTGCCCCTCACTAAAAGTTGCCTTTCTGTTTCCTCAACTTTCAATAATATTTACAGAAGTAACAAATATAAGACATGTTAAAATGTTCTGAAAATGTTCTTTAAAAAATCACAAATTCAAGATATAATATTATTTATTTTACCTCTACATATTTTGTTTGTTGCTTAGTAGTTTCAATCATATCCTACCCTTTGTTACCCCATTTGGGATTTAGTTTGCTACTTCCTTCTCTAGCTCATTTTATAGATGAGGAAACTGAGGCAAGTAGGGCTAAATGATTTGCCTAGGATCACATAGCTAGTAAATGTCTGAGGCTGTATTTGAACTTAATACTTCCTGACCATAGGCCCAGAACTTTACTTACCATTAATACCTAGCTGCCCACCTCTACAGATATTGAATTGATAATTATCTTTTTGATAGATGTCAGCTGTGAATAACCATGGATCTTTGGCATGTAATTTCCTATAGTAAGCCTTGTTTAAAATTCCCTAGATGGCTCTGAATCACCATAAATTTATTTAAATTAAGAACATGCTTGCTAAAAAAAAAAGCCTTTTATGATAATGTTGAGGTTTCACCTGTCACATCATGTACATCCATCTACTTTTATCTTTATAACTCTTAATCCAGTGGTCTCCAAAGTAGGAACCAGAGCATTCTGGGAGTTCACAGAATGAAATCAAGGGGTATGTGATCAGCCATTTGGTGGGTGGGAAGGTGAATAACATCCCACCCTGATCTCCCAATCCAGGCATTTGTGGGTTTATCTCCAACACAACTACATTGCCATTCCAAGCTCCCCCAATGCACATCCTTCCACTATTGGTCTCCAGTGACTACTGGGTGTGGGACTTGCAGGGTGGTTACAATCTAACCAATAGTGGACACCTGAAGCAGTTACACAGGCACAACAAAGGCCCCCCCCCCCATATCCTGATCCATAATCACATAGTGACTGCAGTAGGTACCTCTCAATGATGGGCTCTGTGGCTGGTCAGTAAGTTCTCCCTTCAGACTTTCCATTTTTCAGTAGGAAAGAATAAGTAGCATACGTTGAGTAGGCCTGGTTGGTTCACAATTATATTAACTTTTTCTCCAAACCAACATATCTTCTGAACTTCTCTATTTCCATTGAGGGCACCAACAACCTTCAAGTTTCCCAGATTCTGAATCTCTTCATCATCCTTGACTCTTCACTCAATTGAAAATGGTCTCCTCATCTATCATCAAAGATCTCTTAATTGCCAAATCCAATGGCTTTTTCTCAATCCTCCTTCCTCTTAATCCCACTGCAGCGTTTGACACAATATTAACCACCCTCTCCTCCTGTATTCTTCTTCTACCTTTTCTGGGGTGCCTTTCTTGGTTCTCTTGAGGTGTTCCTTCTCAGTCTCCTTTACTGGATCATCATCTATATCATATCCTCTAACTGTGAGTTTACCCCAATGCTCCATCTAGACCTTCTCTCTCTCTACACTCTCACTTGGTAACTTCATTGGTTTCTATGGGTTGAGTTGTTTTATTCAGATGATTACTATATCTATATATCTTTCCTTAAACTCTAGTCCCATATCACCAAGGGCCTACTGAATACTCTGAATTTAATATCCTGTAGGTATCTCAATTGCAATATGTCTTAAGCAGAATTTACTATCCTTTCCCCAAAATCCACCCCTCTTCTGAACATCGCTATTTCTGTTGAAGTCACCATCATCCTTCCAGTCATCTAGGTTTAAAATTTTGGTGTTGTCTATGACACTTCAATTTCTTCACCCTACATATTCAATCAGATGCCAATTCTTGTCATGCTTTTCTCCATATCTCTCACATTTATGCTCTTCTCTCTTCTCATATAGCTACTATCTTAATTCAGATCCTCATCACTTCTTTCTTGCACTATTGCTATAAAATCCTAATTGGTTTCTTGGCCTCAAGTCACTCCTCTCTCTGATCCATCCCCCACACCACTGCCAAAGTGATTTCTTTAAATTTTCTGGCCATATCATTCCTCTACACAATAAACTCTAATGGTCCTCTACTGACTCTAAAATCAAGTATTGCTTCATCTCTATCTGACCCTTTTAAAATGTCTAATTTGTGTAAGTTTTATAATATTAAAATTATTAATGCAGTTCTATTAGTATACAATTTGTAAATAAACAAATATATCAGGGGTATGTGCTCAATTTTTTAAACTGAAGGGACATGAAATTTAAAAAATTCTAATATGTGTAAAGTGTATACCACACTGAGAATTTTTTGGCTAGGAGAAACACATTTCATCTGAGAGCTGAAATAGAGAAATAGGCCTGCATATATCAGCTCAATAGCTAGGCTTTCAAGTAGATTCAGAAAGAGCGAACTAACTCATTTTTCAGTATCACCTTTCAAGAGTCTCAATATTTTTACCTTCCACCATTCCCTTGGCTGGAAGTAGACATTCCCTCTTATCATTCTTAGAGCACTTGGCTTGGATCTCTTTATATCATACTTGTGTGTTTGTATGCCATGCTTCTTCTATTAGACTGTAAGCTCCATGAGGGGAGGGACTGTTGGCTCTGTCATATTTGTATCTCAGTGCTAAGTATACAGAGCTTGTGTATACAGTAAGGCTTTCAATAAATGTTTATTGAATTAAATTATGCTTTGAAATGAGGAAACTTAAACTTCTATAAGATCCAGTCCACTAGACTAAACACTTCTTGATGTTGGTAGGTCACTGGCTCAAATTAAACCATAGCAGAGAAATAGTATAATGTTGTATGAAGACTGTTGACTCCCAAACTCCTGAGAATTTCTTCTGGAGGCCTTCAATGACAGGTTCTTATCTGTCAGTGTTTAGGTACAGGGAGAAAATAATGTGTTCTTTTCACACAAAATTCTAATGGAAACTGAGAAGTGGCCATATGACTTACTAAGTGTGACGGAGTCGTTGATCTTGAAGCTGCAGAGTACTCTGTCCACATTGCGGGCATGACGAAATCCATTTCCTCTCACCACCACTTGAAATGATTCTGAAATGAAGATCATTAATGCTAAGATAAATTATTGAATTTCAGAAGAACTAACCTCCATTTGGCATCTTGCCTTGAGATGCATCAAAGTATGCCAAATTTTTCTTACATTTATCCTATAATTTTGCCAAAATACTCAAAAAGTTATTTTGAGTTAAAAAACAAATACCATAATTCCTCTGAGTGACCTTTAATCTTTCACGTAGCTAGGCAATGTATGATGTGGCACCTGGAATCAGGAAGACCTAGCTTTAAATCCTGCCCCTGACACTTTTTTGTGTGACCCCAATGGTGAAGTCACTTACCTCTCACCTTGAGGTAATCTATTAACTAAGCTTTCAATGGATTTCCATTATTGTAGGAACTGCCTTTGCCCTCCTACTAAGCCAGACTGCAAAGTTGGAAAGCATCCTAAGCCCTGACTACAGAGTTAGCAATAAATCACCAGGACTATAGAGCAGTAGAAATTAAACAATGTAGAAAATAAAGTTATAAAATGATAACAGGGGATAGAAACCCTATGCTAACTAGAATCTTGCATGGCTAGAAGAATATTTAAGACATATAGCCCGAAGCTCTCTTGTATAACCCACACGAGCCCAGGATTCTGGAAGTAATGGAGTCATTTACTAGCACACTCCTGTTCCACCATTTGAAGAATTTCTCTTCACTGTCACCTGCCCAAGATCAATCAATGGCCTGTTTCATTGATTGATCAGCAAGATAAACAAAAGGTATCTGACCTTGGAAAGCAGCAACTCTACAAATGCTCCGTGGAGAGGTCATAATAGATCAAGGGCCTAGCCAGTCATCTTAGTGGGTGAAGTTCCACAAGACAACTCCAAGAAGAAAGAAGCCCATGGCAAACATGGGTAGGGGGAAATAATAAGTGGACTCTGGAATTTTGGAGCCAGAAATTCCCTGAAAGAGGGACATGATACACAACCTTTGTGAGAAAAATCTGGGCATGTTACTGGGCCCTAGTTACCATAGGAAAGTTGACTCAGGGAGAACATGGAAAGGTCTTTGAGGAAAGGCAGTTTAGTAATTCTCTAACCTGAAATCCCTATCTTGGGATAGATTGTACAAGACAATTGCAAAAAGGTGGGACATGTCCAGAAGTTCTCCACAGTGAAGTGGAAGTGGTACATTTAAGAGAGGTCCAGGCTAGGTCCCATTGGGATAAGTATACTACAGAAGAAGGTGGTGAATGTCCCTAAGAGTTGGGTCCTCATGGAAGCTGTAAGATCTCTGGCCCTTCTGGCTTATATTGGCCAATTAATAAATTTTCAAGCATTTATACCTCAGAAGCTGACAAACACTACAAATCAGGGCTTGATTTGTTGTTGTGTAGACTTGAAAAAATGTTAATAATGAAAGTTAAACTTAACAGTGTATTGTGTGTATGTTTTTTTTTCTCAGAGAGCTGGTTGTTAAACATTCACCAGACCACCGCTCTTCCACCATTTGAAAAGCTAAACTCTCCTAAGACCAACAATGGACCTGGTTCACCAACAAATCAGCAAGGTATGAAAAATACATGGCATTGGAAAGCAGCAGCTTTACAGACTTTATCAGAGAAACTAGAATAGATCAGGAACCTGACTAGTCATCATAGTGGGTAGAATTCCATGAGATTTGGTTGGTCTCTGAATATACCCTCCAAGGTCAGGATAAGCAGATAATAATATGCACAAACTCATGAGATGTGGTTAAGGAACTCTAAGGGTTTGGAGACATTAAAGATCTAGGGCTGAACTATCAAGAGGTCACCAGTATCGGGATAGGATCACTGGCAGAACTTAGAAGTGGCAACCAATGAGAATTCCTATCAGAGTGGACTACGTTAGCCTATGTTGCTGAGAAGAGACGCCATTGGCAAAGGAAAACATGAGAGCGAATGTTTTTGCCATGTTGTTTACAGCTTCAAAGTGGGTCCATATTAACTCAGGTCAGGCAGGATAGGATATCATTGTCTACATGGGTGACCCCATGAACACCCTGACTCAAGACAAAGCCATCTGCCATTGCTGCCTGTCCTCAATGCCAAGCAGTAGAATCATGCCTTAAAAACCAGTATTGCCAAATACCCAAGGGATCTCAGGTCATGTGAGATTGGCAGACATACTACAATGGTCCCCTAACAAGAGGTGTGGGAAATGATGTGCCCAATAATTGTGGATACCTACTCCAGGTACAGATTCATTATCCTGTATAAGATAGCAACAGCAGATACCACTATTGCTACCCTTACTAATCACATTCTTCTCCCATATAGACAAATAAGCCCAATATCCTCAGACTAAGGGACACCCTTCAATGATAAATATGTGTTGGATTAGGCAAAGCCTCACCACAGAACTCGAAATATAATCTTCCATATCACCTCCAAGTCACTGAGATAGTTTAAAGATGGAATAGACTTTTAAAATATCTTTGATTACTTTGATTACTTTCCCCTCAAACTCCTGAAATGGACTGACCATCTTGCTGCAGCAGTGACCATTCTAAAACATCTCTAATTCTCCAAAGCATTGATCTTTGGGTTTATCAAACATGAGATTACTATGGCCATTTATGACTGCGCATTGTATGCCTAATCTGTTTCACTGAATCATCACTCTATTTCTTAACCAGTACCAGACTGTTATTAGTCAGTACTAGATTGTTTGAATAATTACTGCTTTGTAATACAGTTTGAGATCTGGTGTTGCTAGGTATTTCCTTCACATGTTTTTTTATTGATTCTCTTGATATTCTTGATCTTTTGTTTTTCCAGGTGAATTTTGTTAATATTTTTTCAAGCTCTATGAAAAAATTTTCAGTAGTTTGATTGATGTGGTGCTAAAAGAGAAAACTAATTTAGGTAGAATTGTTATTTTTATTATATTGACTCAACCTACCCATGAACAATTAATATTTCTACAATTATTTAGATCTGACTTTATTTGTGTGAAAGTGTGTTCATATTGTTCCTGGCATTGTCCTAGTAGGTAGACTCCCAAGTACTTTATATCATTGCAGTTATTTTAAATGGAATTACTCTTTCTATCTCTTCCTGTTGGACCTTGTTGGCAATATATACAAATGCTGATGGTTTATATGGGTTTCTTTTATATCCTGCAACTTTGCTGAAGTTGTTAATGATTTCAACTAGTTTTTTAGTTGATTCTCTAGGATTCTTTAAGTATAGCATCATATTGTCTGCAAAGAATGAGGGTTTTGTTTCCTCATTGCCTGTTCTAATTCTTTACATTTCTTTTCTTTAAGTATTGCTATAGCTAGCATTTCTAGTACAATATTGAATAATAGTGGTGATAATGAACATCCTTACTTCACCTCTGGTCATATTAGGAAGGCGTCTAACTTATCCCCATTACAGATAAGGTTTGCTGATGGCTTTAGATAGATACTACTTATCATTTTAAGGGAAGCTCCATTTTTTCCTATTCCTTCTATTGTTTTTCATAGGAATAAGTTTTGTATTTTGTCAAAAGCTTTTTTGTGCATTTATGGAAATAATCATATGGTTTTTGTTGTTTTTGTTATTGATATAGCCAAGTACGTGATAGTTTTCCTAGTATTGAACCAACCTTACATTCCTGGTACAGATCCCAGCTAGTCATATTGTATAATCTTTGTGATATATTGCTGCACTCTCCTTGCTAGAATTTTATTTAAATTTTTTGCATCTATATTTATTAGGGAAATTGTTCTATAGTTTTTTTCTGTGTTTTTGTTCTTCCTGGTTTAAGTATCAGCATCATATTTGTGTTATAAAAAGAATTTTGTAGGACTCCTTCTTTGCTTATTTTTTCCAAATAGTTTATTTGAATTAATTGTTTTTTAAATGTTTGGTAGAATTCACTTGTGAATTAATTTGGTCCTGGAGATTTTTTATGAAGGAGCTCATTTATGACTTGTCAACTTCTTTTTCCAAGATGGGGTTATTTAAGCATTCTATTTCATCTTTTGTTAATCTGGGCAATTTATCTTTTTTTGTAAATATTCATCTATTTCACTTAGACTGTCAGATTTATTAGCGTATAAAGAGCAAAATAGTTCCTAATGATTGCTTTAATTTCATCTTCATTTGTGATGAATTCACCCTTTTCTTTTTTAATACTGGTCATTTGATTTTCTTCTTCCTTTTTAAAAATCAAATTAACTAATGGTTTATCTTTTTGTTGTTTTTTTTTCATAAAACCAACTCCTAGATTTATTTATTAGCTCAATGGTTTTCTTACTCTCAATTTCATTATCTCTCCTTTAACTTTTTCAGAATTTTCAATTTTGTGTTTAATCAGAGATTTTTAATTTGTTCCTTTTCTTTTTTTTTAATTGCATACTCAATTCATTGGTTTGCACTTTCTCTATTTTATTGATGTAAACATTCAGAGATAAATTTCCACTAAGTACTGTTTTGGCTACATCCCATAAATTTGGTATGCTGTCTCATTTGTTATTCTCTTTAATGAAATTATTGATTGTTTCTATGATTTGTTCTTTGACCCATTTGTTCTTTAGGATTAGATTATTTAGTTTCTAGTTAATTTTCATTCTATATTTCCACAGCCCTTTAATGAATGTAGTTTTTATTGTATTATGATCTGAAAAGGATGTATTTAGTATTTCTGATCTTCTGCATTTGGTGAGGCTTTTATGCCTTAATTTGTGACCAACTTTTGTGAAGTTATCATGTACAACTGAGAAAATCTATACTCCTTTTTATTACCATTCACTTTTTTTCTAGAGGTCTATCATATCTGACTTCCTAAAATTCTATTCTTCTCCTTTACTTCCTTCTTGTTTATTTTAATGTTAGATTTATCTAGTTCTGAGAGGTGACTAGTTGAGATCTCCCAGTAGTATAATTTTTTTCTCCATTTCCTTTTGTAACTCATTTAACTTTTTCTTTAAGAATTTGGATGCTATGTCACTTGCTACATATATGTTAGGTATTGATATTACTTCATCGTCTATGGTACCTTTTAGAAAAA